AGTTATGCCCTTATTTCTGTAAGTCAGTCCCGAAGCGCGAGGAAACGTTCAATCCACAGTTTCTGCTCACGGAGGCATTAATGCGATTGCGGGGACGTGTTGTGCTACAGACTCAGGTGCATGATCACTGAATATCCAAATATTTGTAATTTTTGGAACGTACTGAGACACTGCAGGCATCAAGACCGAGAATGTTCCGGAAATTCGAACGCAGGTTCCATTGAAACCTGTATTAAAAACCGCTCCAACTACTTCCGGATTCACACCGTTACTAAAATGTCTCATGTGGCACTGCCACAGTGACAATCTTCAAGATTTGTTGTGTTTCTTGAGGAATATGCAAGATTCGCCGAGTGCTCAAGATTGCCTTGGTCTACAGTGGCGCTTGGGCATATTCTCATGCGCGCCGCCCGCAAAAACTCTAAATCCGTCCTCGCGTATTTCTGTAATCACCCGCCATTTTTTGTCGGCATGCCAAACAAGAAAAATTTGCCATTTTTCTTGTCGGCTCGAACGTCGTGCATGCCAAACAATCCCTCTTCACGTCCGAATGGATCTGACTGCGGCTCGAACGTCTCCTCTCCTATGCGTCCTCAAATTGAGAAAAACTGTACTGTATAACTCACAAAGCGTATCCTCCACAGTTCACCCGAGCAGCAATTATGCCTAAGAATCAGAGTCTGCGGAAGCGGGACGCGGTACGAGCTCTGATGAAGATGGTCCATGATCGCCAGCTGTGCGTCTCCGTGACCGAGTTGCATATTATGCGAAGCCTGCGGCCGTCGAGCCGAGTGGCGGATTTGGCCTCTCGGTGGTGCAGTCTGATAAGATCGTGGGACGCTTTTCCTATATCATGAGCAATCCTACATTGTAGGATTGATTGTAATTATAGCCGGCAGTCGGTATTAAGTACGTACTGATGCATTCCTTTTATGGTGATAGTGTCATGTTGTGGTTGGTTCATATGCTTATCTGTAATCACCTGTAGTACTATTCAGGTAAAGATAATTATCTGTAATGCTGATACTATCTGAGTACTTCAATAGAGTAGCTACATTAGTTATAAGAATAATCATAGGCACAATCCGATTCGAGGCGGCAATCGTATTCAGACTCTACAGACTAAGGAGTTGATGACAAAGTGGAACACTTTGTGTCGATGGAGAACCAATGCTGCAGGCTCTTGCGCACAGACCGTGTCTCACCGACATTAATAAGACCTATCCACTCCTGATGACGATCTGCCTTTGGTTTAAGTTGTTAATTAAATTTTCATCAATTATTATTCCATATTGTATGATTCAGATATTGCTTGCTCAACACTAGTCAAAGGGTTAGGTCAGTACACTGGATGTGACGAAAGCCATCAGGTCAACTAGGTCAGCACCATTTCCGACTTAGATTACTCTTTGAAAAGAGAGAAGCATTGCCCATTCGGAAATATCGAGACCTTCAACAAACGCGACTCGGTAGCGACGATAATGCATAATCTTTTATGTTTAGGATTGATATTTTAATTAGTTATTCATGTTCTTTGAGAACATATTCTTCCAGTGAGCATCGTCAACGCTCTATGAGAACAAGCTCCCCTCGGCCGAGACGGTTGTAATCGGGTCGGCGGCCCGATCGGAGACGCTTCTTCAGAGGTGGAGTCGCAGGCAAATTATCTTGGGTGTCAAAGATGGCCGAGCTCTGCTGCCGAACCTCATTCTTATCTAAGAATCGAGGAAAGCAATGCACGCTGTTTTTTGTCTCCTACTGGTGTCTTCGTCAGCATCGTTAGCAGCCATACTCTTGGTGTAGCTCGGATGGTTCACCACATTGACCTGAATTGGTAGTATGGTGAATTACGTTGAGGTGTTTTACTTCCTCAGCATCAGCCGATATCTCAGAAGTATTCTTTGCCTGAACAAAGCTTCCCTCTTCCAGCTGCCATCTGCGACCACTCGATTTCGTCTCTCGATTCTGCACGCCTGAATCGCACGATGCATTATTGTCAACGGAGCATTCAAAAATGTCTTCCATTATAAGCGCATGGTGGTAAGTTCATCGCCTACCTTGGTAACCGAATCTAGTAGTCATGTTCACACACGAGTCGGTCGCCTGCGGCGTATCATCCTAAATACGGAGAGCTCTCCGAAATTAATAATGACTCATAATGACTAATAAATTATTAGTAATAATGAGTGTTCACTCAGATATACCTTACCTCATACAAAATTCTAGTTATTCTTTGGGATGGTAGGCTGCTCTGGCTCTCTGGATGGGTTATTTGAATTGATTCTTCGATGCGTATTTCGTCAGATTCCCTACATGTCGAGTATGCCGATAGTGCCTGGACTATGAATGAGGTATGAACGAGTAGTTAAAAATGGGGAGTAACCTCATCTGTAGCATCTGAAGGAGTCAGTAGAGAAAGGTATTGATCCATGTATGAAGTGCTTGGGTTACCTGAAATACTACTCGAAATAGTTGATTTTCCAGGAATTGACTTACCGGCGAGCTGTCCCCGCATTGTGGCATCCAGTAACCTTGCACAAGCAGGCAGCCTAGGGATTTCAGAAGCGGTTGTAATAGCATAGCTTCCAATCTGCTGTCCTCTGGCGCTAGATAGCTCATCGATTTCCAATGCCTTCGTCTTACGGAACCTGATATCGAGGTAAGCCCGCTGATCCACATGTACTACTTTGGTCGTCCTCTGCAGGTAGGGGCAAAAGGTAGGAGCTCGCTCAGCTCGTATTTTCCCCTTCCTGTACTGCCAGTAGAAAGTAGCTCAACTGCGATTGAGTGCACGCATCGTTTTCCCTCAGGCCCATAGCATGTACAGCTGAATCGATCGTCGGAGTTCACGATGAGTACATTAGCCAGAACATCGCGAAAGTGACCCCAGCCATTCCAGTTCCTTCCCGGTTCTCCGAGATATTTGGCCAAATAATGACCGACCACCCGATCTAGTGTAAGCTGGTCATACGCTTCTTCCACCAGTTCCTTGCTAGGTATGAGGAAGAATCGGTGGGTCTCTTCAGTGTAAATACATCCTTCGGTAACCCACTTCAAGGCACATTTAGCTGCATCGGTGGCATCTTTCAATGGCGGATGAGCTTCCTCCTCCTCTTGCCTCCATGTGTGATCCTCACAGCAGGCCATTATCTCATTGACCAAAGTATCAAAGGAAGCCGTTGCCTCGATTTGACCTGGTAATACATGATGCCGCAGATTCGTTTTTAGCCAAATATAGGATAAGTTCGGAGTAGAATCTTCACAATTTTGGCGGAAGGCTGGAATTCATCGAATTTTAGCTATCGATTCATACTTAACTCGTCTCCAGACTCGCTTTTGCAGTGGGACGTAACTCATTCGAAAGGTCTTGCCGACCTTTTCACCGTGGTAGCTTGAAATTTATGCATTTTTGAGGAACGTAAATGTCGATAGCTCAGTGGAGCGAGAGAATGTTTGGACCCCACAGGTATCACGGTGAAACTCGCCAAGATCTTTCGAATGAGTTACGCCTTACTAGGTAATTCGTACAATTAACCTAGATATGGACAATAGCACACTACATGATGATGATGATGATGATGATGATGATAGATGATGATAGATGGTGATAGATGATGATAGATGATGATGATAGATGGTGATAGATGATGATGATAGATGGTGATAGATGATGATGATGATAGATGGTGATAGATGATGATAGATGATGATGATAGATGGTGATAGATGA